TTTTTTTTGTTATGCAGTTGTCACCAAAAAACACCAAACTGCTGTGTATGCACTATACAGCACAATGGGGCTAGATGCTTTGCACGAGTGCATTAGCGCATATCATGCAAAGGAAGCGGTGTGGTCATGATAAGCCTTCCAACAGGGTAGGTCAAGTGTGATTGGTCAAAGCTTGAATCATGTAGCAACAGGGCCTGATGTAGCTGGCCATGAGAAATCCCCGTGATAAGTATGGAAAGTTTCCCGTATCTCTGAGTCACCTCAGCGGTATGGCCGCATATCCATTAATACTCTATGAGTCATAGCATTTATAATATTTAAGACACAGTGCCCAAACCAACTGTTGTATACACAAAGGGCCATTTAAAGTCCATGAAAGCACCCATCTGTTATGAAGGTGTCATTCTACATATCGGCCTTCTATCAAAGGTCACTACTAAATGTCCTTATAGTCTGGAAATATCAAGCTTAAATAGCGGAGAATGGGACACTTTTTGTTTTATAAATAGATCAGTGACTGCATGTCGAGTATTTTGGGCAGAAAACCCAGATGAACACTAAACTGGCTACTGTTTGTCCCTTGAGACAATTTCCGTATGGCAGCATCATTTCCAATCCATGTAAAACCCCTGAGGGAAATATTCATTTTATTTCCTTGTAGAGCTGGTTCACAGTAAAGGTTCCCTTTTACATAGTCTAGTGTTGATGGGAGCTTCTCCCCCCTGGACTCCATGGCACAGGCCCTTCACTCGGCCCGGACTGGCATCATGGAAGGAAAAGCTGCTGTACCTGCCAATTATGTTTGTGTGCTTTCACGTATTTGTGTGTGTTAGTCCACAGCTGAAGCCAGTTTTGCTCATGAGTGACCTCTGCTCCGTGTAAGTGGAAACGGTAATCCACTGATACAGTGGGCTAGAGTTTCCATGGGCCCACTTCCTGTCCACTCTTGCCGCATTTTCCTGTTTGGCATATGATGTCATTGTGATCTTATGAAAAGCTTTTTTTCTTATTTTTTTTTCTCTTTTCCTTTATTCACCACCAAATTAGTTGTTTTTTTTTTTTTTTTAAATCCCTCCTATATTAGGGTGAGCAATACTAAGATCACTTCCTTCAGTCAGATTACTCAGTGTTGCCAGTCTGGGACTGAACATGGTGGAGGAAATGCAGAAGGGAGTTCCTTGCCACTAAAAAGTATCAAGATTACAGATGCTTTTTAACCACAAAGGACATTCCTCATCCAACAAAAAAGAAAAAAACTGGGTTTAGGGGCAGATCATCTTCTAGCCGATGCCCACATTGCATTCTGCAAATACCCCTGACTTCTCAGTGGGACATCAAGATATAATGCAAAATTCACTTTAACATTTCTCAAGAACATCCCGCCCATAAGAAAATACACGTGCATGTTAATATTCTTGTATAGAGCATAGATTGTATGTAGTCACTGGTTCGAGAACACCTATTTTGAAGACTTGATTTCAAGAATGAAAGGATGTAGTTCTAAGGTGCATACATAGACTGTATGTGTGCCCTGCACAGACATAGATACCTGCTAATTCATGCTAAGGTACATGCAAACTAAATACTAGAATTTCAGTCTCCAAAACTGGAGCCTTGAACTCAAATGAAAATAGAAAGCACCAGAATAGCAAACACAGTCAAGAGGTTCAGTTTGGAGGCTTGAATTAGCTGTGATAAAGCCTAAAGACAGCTCGGACCTGGTTAGCACCCTACCTGTCACTCAAATGTCTCAGCGCTAGTGGTACACAACTTTAGGACTTAAATTTTTTAAGCTAGTGGGTTATAAAAGCAATTTTTCCTTGTAAAGTTTTGAAAAGCTATCTGTCTTTTACCCTGTGGCTGGTTGTTTGACAGTAGCATGGTTGTGTGCGGGGATTGATATGCTTTATTTTTCTACTTGGGATGATGCCACTTGTCACAGAACTAGAACTAGAAGTAACTAGTCCCCACTGAAGCAATTGTTTATGACCAGAATAAACATTTATATTTATATCCAGCTTCCGGTCAGCATGAGATCAGAGTAG